TACCCATCACGGCGGCCATATATGGGAGTCTCGTCGGTGTAACTATCGCGGCCGTAAATGGGCGTTTCGTCAGTGTACTCGTCGCGGCGGCCATATATGGGGGTCTCGTCGGTGTAAGTGCCGTCTAGGGAGCAAGACGCATTAGCGAGGGATGCGGACAGGGTAGGGTAGAGGAGATGAGCAATGCATGTGCATTGCTGGCTCACCAGCGCTGCCAACCGCGGAGAGGTCCTTCTCGTATGCGGAGGAGCGGATGTCTGCAAAGGTAGATGGTCAGCGACGCCATGCGGAACGAGCGGGTGACTTACGTGTGGTAGGGATAGCGAGGACGACAAGAGGCAGGAGGGCAGCGAAAGCGAGAGAGAGGCGCATGGTGGATGAGGTGGATGAGCTAGTAGAATCCGAGAGGATGCTGAAGGATTGGGAGGGACCAAGGCAAGTTTATATATGTCAAGGGAAGCGGAAGATTGCCCATTGTTGAAGACGAGCAGAGATGCTGGAGCGGATAGTGGGTGGAAGCAGATTCGAGTGCAATGAGCATCACGAGGGCACGCGAGCCTCGGATTGCATTCAAGTTCGCCGCGGCGCTCGACGCAGGTATTCGTCCGATGATGGAACCACGCACTGAACGGGTCGGTTTTTGGGTCACAGATGCAATTGGGAAAAAGCAGCACCGAGAGACGGTTCCCGTTGTTTGGGTTGTAGAATCGGAGCCTATGTCGCTTGCATCAAGAAGGACATGGGAAACGCTGCACATTTGAATTAGGACAAGACTTTGGATCCAACGCTTCAGCGCTTCCAAAGAAAAGCGACATGGACTAAAAGCAGAAAACTGTGACGCCAGGAAAGAAATCGAGACAAATCAGATTCGCGCGAATTACATAATTCACCTATCTTCGCGCCCGTGTCTTCACGCCAATCGGGGCGCACAGTAGTATCGCACTCAGGCTTGGACATCTCGGACAGCACTCGGGCATCTGATGCGGCACACTTTACGTGCGCCAACCCACTTTGCACCGTCCTGCTTCCTCATTGTACCCAGCGCCTGGACCATCCGCGTCAATGTCTGAGTCAGGCGCAGGCCTTTTGGATAGAACTCCCTGTCCTATTCCCTGGCCATACCGCCAGACGAGTCCACCAACGCTCGCCTCAGCCTCTTTTCACACGGTAATCAATCACGCTCGCTCCAGCCCCCAGGTGCAAAGAAGTGCGAGCAACCAAGATCTCCGCAGTGAAGTTTCATTGCATCTTTGCTAGCGTCATGTCGACATCCTGCCTATTCTTTCACCCTCACAGGGCCTAACCCGTAGCAGAGCGTAGCTCAGGCAAACACCACTAACTAGTTACATGATCGCACACCGGCGCTCGTCACGTTTCAGTCCGTCGAGTGGCGCAGAGAACCGTCCATCCCACCCAAAGTTAGCACACCATTCAGATCGACGTCTGCAGCGGAGAGCTCGCCTTCCCCGCCCATCCTCGTGGCCTGGATGCGCTCAAGAGGGACACGCACGCGGTTTGCGCTCTGCCACTCCTGGATCTTTGCAAAGTCGCGGCACTGGTGCACGGTGTTGAAGTCGGGGAAGGGTTTGGGGACGCCAGCGACCCAGTCGTACGTGATGAGCGCGGTGTCGGCGTAGCACATCAGGTTCTGACGCAGCATTTCGAGACAGTGATCTGTGTGTGCGATCAGCGCCAAGGGAAAAACGGGAACGGATATGGACGCGGGCCGCACCTATATGGTCATGGACAAAGCGGGGTCGTGTGGATATGTCGTGCTGGATCTCGGGGTAATGCTCGGCATAGGAGTACTGGCGGAGCATGTCCTGCGCACCAGGGATTAGCAGCGTACAGTGAGACGAGACCAGGACACGCACGACACAGTGCAGGTTGTGGAATACGTCGATGGTGCCCATGGCGCCACCGCCATCCTCAGGGAGGAACCGGACTTTGGATTGCCGACGGGCATCGTCAAGCTCGATGCGGGCCAGGTAGTCGTCTGGGACCCGGATCGGGATCACTGTGGGCAGGTCAGAGAGCGCGGGCACAGTTAGGACGGGCACACACAGCCTATTTTATTGGTCATTGTGATTTTTGCCCAGGCAGCATCGATAGCAGGGCCGAATCCAACGTAAGGCGAATGGAAGCCGAGGGTCCCGTTGAAGCGTACGACATTGTACTCGATGGCGGGGTAGACGGGAGCTGCAGGGCGGGTTAGCGACCGTGTGTGCACGCGCAAGGGGACGCACAGTGAGCGTTGAGGAGGTCGTCCCAGTCGGTGCGTTCGGGGCGGTGAGTGTGGGTATGAAGGACAAGTGCGAACACAATGATGTTGAGGAGGAACACAAAGACGTGGAGGATCCAGGGCCAGAAACGGCGCAAACCTGAGGAGCGATGACAGCCGCATGCACAAGCACCGTTGTCGCCGACATCTATGTCTCCGGGCTGAGTGAGAAGCTTCTCGGAGGAGTCATAGTGGTTGCCTTGGGCGATGGGTGAATACTGTGCTGCAGACGACGGGGGCATTCTGCGCGGGTACGCTGTCGATGGACTAGCCGCGAGAGATGGAGCTCTTGTTCTGGGGCTGTAGAGCGTTATGGGGTCCGAAAACTGGTAAGTGGATATCGACTTTTCGAATTTTACAATGGCCATACCATCTAGATCTCTCCAAGCGCGCAATACCCTGAATCTATCGGACCAAAAAGGGGGGATCTACGAGCGAGTGCCAGGCGTATCATAGGAGATCACGCTGAGAAAGTGAGCTTGTTGCTTCGGGTGACGACTGGCTCGGCCGATAGAGTAGACACTGATCATGAGACTCTAACACTGCATTGAAGAAAAGCATCAGCAGGGAACACTGGCGCCTTCATAGAATCATAGAAATGAGGAATTCTGTAAAAATTGCGCTCGTGGCCACCATTTGATCTCAAAGCAGTTGTGCACTGATGCTCACCATGCCCCGACCCTGACGTTAACGCCCTGTGTCCGACCGGCGAACCACACCGCGCAACCCCAGAGATGTCTTCAGATGAGCCCATCAGTCGATATCTTTACTACATACATACCATATTCCAATTTGCGCGCGCTGTGCGTCGGACTCAGAAGTGAAAGGGCGCCCTTGGATCCAGCCTGTTGGATTCCCCGCACGCTTGAGGGCTTCTGTAGAATACCAAACGGAATTTTCAGCAAGTTTCCTATCTTGACAAAAGAGTCATACATTTTTACGGGTGTTGTAAATATGTGAGGATCGAGGTAGGCTGTCAAAAGACCTTGGTTCAGAAGATGAGCGGTAATGTCACACATGTCACATTCGATTACACCGTCTGGTGGTCGACACTGACCTGGGCCAAAGAAACTTGTTGGTAGTTACGAAAACGGGAGATGCAGACTGTGTACTACGAGGGTTGTGTGTATGTGGAAGTTAAATGAGTGAGTAAGTCAATTGAAAGTGGCACACTAATATTCAAAGCGGCGAAGCGCGACGGCCGCTCTCAGTTGCCAGTTGGTCGCTTATGTGACCGTTGTACCTCCTCAGGTGCACACAACACTGAAACCCGATCTGCTTATTGTACTTGCTGTGTACACGCTGCTGGAGAGGTAATTTCGAGTTTTCAGCATACAGATATAATCTTTGCCTCATCCTCACGATCAAATCAATCACTCCATCAATCATTTGGGTGGGAACAGTCGCCGCGGTGGCGCCCCCAGAAGATATTTCGCTTCTCGGTTGCCGATAGTACTCTCAGCAAGCCGTTACGTTACTATCCATGTTGCACGGAGATGACGCGATCTCGGTCTCAGGATTCAATCAGAAATGCATTGGTCAGAAGCAATGGGGTTCAAAGAATAAACACGGGGCACGTTCAACTGGCGCATGTGAACCAAGAAAGGCAAGGACCGGTTCGGCCTTTGGTCTTTCCCTCAATTCGGCCGCCTCGCATCATCGATCCTTGCGAATACGATGGCATCAGCTTATGACTTCCGCTAGCCTCCCACCCGCGCTCATCACTACTGTCAGTAGAAGCGAGTCGGCGACAATCGCGATTCAATGATGCAGATGACAAGTCAGTTTTTCTCACTCGCCTCGTGCACCAGCTGTTATATGCGCTCGATTTTTTTCTCATATCGACGACCAAGTGTACTGTATAAAATCTTTCAAAAGTTCTCACGTCTGTCGGCCTGAGCTCTTATTTTAATCTCCGTTGTTTTCAGTTACCTGCACTGAACGTACAGCCATGGATTTATTGTGCGTGGCAGCGTCTAACAAGGTGAACAAGAGAACGAACAGCTACGTTACTGTACCTCCTATCTGTCTCATTTTTGCAATCTACATGATTTATCCTTGGAGCTTGCCTCTGATCCTGACAGGTCCACTCCGCTCTTGTGGGGAGCCTTATCTCCACAACGTGTTCTCGCTCGCACAACAAAGCAATCGCCGCTTTCTTGCGACAAAAAGGTGTCAGAAAGGCATCAGAAAGGTGCCAATCAAGTTGAGTAAGCCTTTCTTCCCTTGAAAAACGGGCCTTTCCTCGCTAGGAAAATAGTCATTCCTTGCTCTGTCATCACCTGAAAAGTGAGGAGTACTTGACTCGTGACTACATATCGCCATATTGCGCTATCCTACGGGTCGTCGCCTTAGTCGAGACTACTTTCCTCTCTTTTGGCCAGTAACACATCCACTGAAAGGATGCATCGATAGAATATACAGGTCAGCTCCATCAGACATGATGGAATACAACTAGACCACGTTCAATCAGTCCTCGGTACTAGATGAGCCGCTCAGTCTTTGAGAGGCATGTAACATGTGCTGCTCTCGAACATCGTGCATGAGCTAACCCCCGTCGTGATATGTTCCTTACACTCACAGGAAATTTCAATTGCACATAAACCCCCCGCCATCAACACTCTTGCCTTCAACCTACTCATCTTTGCCGTTGGCACAATCTACATGGGCGCCCAGGTGAAGTACATGCAGCAAACGTTTCCCTATCGTCGCGCCTTCCATGACAGCTCTAGTACGTGTTCAAGTCTCGCGCGGACACCACAGGGTATGGGTTTACCGTCACAGTGAGCGCGAGCTTGCTGTTCCCTTATAGGCAATTGGATCTGGACGTTTTCTTGTACGTTCTCATGCACCCCACTGAAAAGCTGATTGAAACTTTGCTTCAAGTTTGGAAAACCCACGGCCATTGTCTTACAGTGTAGAGCAGCGTAGTACCGTACCTACTATTTATATTTCATTCCGGCTCGATGCTCATAAGACATCGATTCACCATTCTCTTATGTGAACTTGATCCTCGCGCTAGGCGTAGGTACTTACTGTATGATTTTGGTCTCAAGCCCCAGTGCGGAAGCGCACAAGCACGTGTTGTCAGTAAGCAATTGAGCAGCCCTATTGCATTTAATTCTCAAGATCAAAACTCAGGTCACCTTGGGCTATCTCCTCTTTTTGTCCTCCTCATCTTCACCTTCTGCTTTGTTCTCCTGCCATATCTCAGAACAACCCAATGTTTTATGTATGTGATGACCCAGTTACGTGCATCCTGTATGATGTGTCGGGGATGGCTGTCTGTCGAGCTTTCCGACCTGAAAGAGGCCATCGACGCACAACAAGTACCTCTCGTTTCTTCAGGTTGCATTTTCCTCTGGAAAATATGTTGCACTGACGCCTGCGTTGGCGTCGTGCTGGTCAGGGAAGCCCACTCTTGGAAGCGATGCAACAATAAGAGTGTCGTCGCCAACTTGGGAGTCCCTCGCATGGGATATAGAGTCATCTTCCAGAACGTAGCGGTGACAAGAGGACGCTGACACCTCCAAATATGCTTTCATCTGTCTGCTCCATCCTTCCCAAGAGTGGGCCTGTTGGAGGTATATTGTCGCATAGAGCAATTTGCGTCAATGTCACATTCTCACTGATTTCCCCTCCTGACTTCCACTATGTTACGGCCGAAGCAGGCAAGTCTACACAACGGAGTCAATTCTCGCCAGGCCACACACGGCTTGGTACCATCAAAGATTTCCTAGTCTTCTGAACGTCGATCACTCCAGAAGTCAGAGAAGAGGATCCCTGATGGCGTCCGTTCTGATCCCGATAAGGACATTCCTCCTGTTTCAGATCAATGCGATCTTTTGATACTTACTACTTAAGCAGATCATTGTTATGTCGCGGCGATCCAGGTGTTCCAAGTCCGGAGGGGATTCTCAGCGCGGTTGTGCCCGGCCGTCAACATATTTGCGGAGTGTGGTGCGTTTTGTCACACTGCGCGCATCGGGTCTCGTCTCCAGACGTGTTGACACGTCTGGGGATGAGGTCACGAATGAGTCACCAGGGCGAGCAGCATTTCCACCCGTGATACAAGTGTGGCTGCTCCTGCGGCACCGGCCATCGGTAGTGTCAGCACGCCGGACGGTCATGATCCGGCAAATTACAATGTGAGGCGAATAATTGACGGGTTCACAAATGGGATTTGTGACATAAAGCCCATTCCACTTTGTGAACCTGCAGGTTATGTCGCACATTCAGTCAAGAATGGAGTCAAACAGCATCTCATAGTGCTCGCGAGTTAATCACGGATGTCTTGACTATATATTTCTGTACATCTCTACGTCTACGTGTGCGAGGCTGATGCAGTGCGTTGCAACAGGGATTAGGCTCTTGCGTGACTTTTCATGTCATCCGTGGCCGAAGGATGCGGCCAAGATGCCATCAACAATCTACGCCTCTAGGTTGTCTTCAAAGTTCTTACTCGCGTAGGCGCAGATGTGACCAATTTGATCAGCAGCCCCCCCTTAGAATTCCAAAAAAAAAAAGGGGGGGCTGAGCGTTACCATGCGTTTCCCGCTTGCGCCGCGTTGGCGCTCTCGATAAGTACCTACCTACGCCTCAACACTCGTGCTTTACATCTCCCACATGGCGCTACGAGGCGAAGTTACTGGAATATTGGTGAAACGTTTGCTGGTGCTGATCATGAGCCGTACACACACGTTCTGTACCATCCTGCAGGTCTGATCGAACACGCGCCTGCGCTCCTCTAAGACCCCGGATCGGCTAACCGTCTGACTCCGCACTATCTATTCTCTTGTAGTGGGCGGTTTGCAGTAAGGTCTTGCCAGGCGGTGCATCATTAATCTTGTCTCCCCCATTCCGTGTCGCTCCTTGAATACACTAACGGATACACTGAATTATATGGCAGGAAAGTGGGCAACGCGCAAGCGAGAAGCTAGCGCAGTTGGCAGACGACCCAATGGGCGGGCGAGCGAGCGAGTGAAAGGGACACGTTAAAGGCCGCAGCTTTCGATTAGGTGAAGCCGAGATGCGCGCCACCGCGGGTCGACAGGCAGAGGCAGTGAAGACTGAATACTTGTCCTCGTGCAGCAAGAGTTCGTTTCAAATGAACATGCGCTCCATAAATTGATGGTAGTCCCCGCAATCAAAGACATTATTACATCGGCTGATGTAGGTTTTAGTTGCAGAAAGGTATAAAATCCCGCTTGCTCCAGCCATGATCTCCAGCTCCTCATTTTCTCTTCGAGCCCTGAAGTCGGTACTGGTTGGTGCGTAGTCAGCAGAGTCTCTGTGTGGTGGGAGACGGGCTCACAATCCATGACCTGTGCAATAGCCTGACTTCTGTTACGTCCATTCGTGCATATCTCTTAACGACATCTACCACACGACTCTCTATTCGCATTACCTCTCACTTACACTTTCAATTATGCGTGCTTCGACGATCGTCATCTTGGGCGCAGCCGCCGTGCCTGCCCTTTCCGCCCCTGTCATGTATGTCCAACGCCGTTTTCAAACTCATTCAGTAATGCTAACACGATTTGCAGAGACCTCTACGGCCGAAACTACGACATCTTTTATGCCCGTGATCTTGCGGCAAGGGCGCAGCCTAAGGGTCCTTCTACTTTGGACACAGTTTGCCATACACTAGTTTGCATGACGGAGGGCGTTGTTGGACCCATAGTAGGTCATGCAAATAAGTGGCAAGTGGAGACGGAAAAGAAGTAAGTGGCCAATCTATGATACTTCCGTTGCCGCGTCCCATCCCACTGACGCCACGGCGCACAGAAAGGCGGCTGATGCGGACAAGGAGAATAAAAGAATCTTAGCAGGGTGAGTAACATTCAGTCAGACTTAGTTTGTCGCATTGGGGTGAATGTCAGTGCACAGGATAGACCAGCCAAAGCGTGAGATTGAGAACGCTCTGTACGCCCGTCACTGGTTCCAGTGCGTGTTCCCGTTTACAGCGGGGCGTGTTTCTGATTGTCGGGCGTGTTCATTTCCAGCCACGACAAGGAGACCCCTGCTTCGGCTCCTTCCTCGGACCCGAGCCAGATGCAGTCCCCCGTCCAACGTCGCTGGTGGTTCCAGTGCGTGTTCCCGTTTACAGCGGGGCGTGTTTCTGATTGTCTGGCACGTTCATTTCCAGCCACAACAAGCCCTCTGCTTCGGCTCCGCCTCCTGCCTCGGACCCGAGCCAGATGCAGTCCCCCGTTCAACGTCGCGCCGAGATGCTTGGGCAGCTCATTGCTCGTCAGTTGCTCGAAGACGCATACTTGGATTGAGCATGCGATGGCTCATTCGAGTTGTCGTTTTATGTCATTTATCATGATAGATTGAAATGCATTGGCTGATGTGAGGAGTTCATTTGACGATAGTCGTGTGCAGGTTGGCGAAGTGTGCTTCGCTGTGGCCCAAAGACCGTGGCCAGCGGTGTCCTGTGAATGAACGGGAATTGTTCGGGCACCTTCTTCCTTGAATCTGTTCAGAATTGGTGTTGTGGCCGAGCATTGAGTGATCGCCAATTTTCCATCGGATGATGGCGAGGTGACTATCTGCTTCTGGCGGGT